TTTAACAACAAAGTTCAAAAGCAAGAGAGATTCACAAGTCCACAGCAAGAGAGATTCAGTTYCGACGATAGTTGAATTATTATGCACATATATTTACAGCATTTTTAATAAACGAACAAAAAACTTCAAGCTAGTACAACAGATGAAATCCATGTCCACTAAGCTATTTTGGTAATTCCTTCATGAACCAGACTATTTTGATACTTTGATACTTTGATAGAAAAAGACCGTCTTCGATACTTTATATTAAAGCAACCATCAGACAAAGCTATTACCCCAAAACATTGTTTCAGTGTGTTTAACTTGACTTGATAACTTATTTTGCATYGAAGCGCAATTGCAACCTTTCATGATTTAAACAATCTAAAAACTGTCTTTTGATCTGAAACATGCAGGAACAACGAATTCATTTCCCTTACATTTTAAACAACTGGAACACTATTTTGGCCACTATTTTCAAATGAAAACCACATAATCGAAATACTCAAAAAATCGTACTAAATCATTTTCACCAGCAAAACAGCCATTTAAACATTCACCTGAAGTTTTGGGRACACAAATTTTGCCAAGGTTATGATTAAGCCGCAGTACTGAACTGTTATTCTTGGGGAATAAACATTGCCGAAGGGGAGGTGGGTGGGGTCAAAAATCCCTCTAGCACTGACTGGTATGGCATAACTTAGCAAATGTGGCCAAACCTAAGATTTTAAAAATCTGCAATTACCGACCTAGGGGTATGCGAAGTGCCTCTAACCTTGGTATCACACCTTAAAAAACATGCTAAAATTCCWCACTGACTTTCTCATGGCTGTTTTAATAGTAAAAAAAATCTGGCAGTGKTTTTGATCATGTGACCAGATTTAATCAAGTTCTCTTTGAATTCCTTCAAGCGCCGCAATTTGGGGGGGRAAAGCAAGAACAGAAGGCCCTGGGAATCAGATTGTTGTATGTTCTACCTTTATGAGAGAAGTTAATATTTGTTATGGTCAGGCAAAAATTTAGTCCAACAATTTTTTGSTCAAAATAATTGAAAAATACAAAGCAATCGTTGAGAGGCTAAAATTATTGTTAGAGTCCTGGACACCAGTGAGTTGTCATGTTACATATTTTGAATGCAAGTATACTGCAAAGTTTRAATGACCTTCATCAAATACTCTCAGAGATATACTGAAATCTATGTTGAAACAAACTAGGAGCTGAGAATTATGACGCCATCAACCTCTTAGCATAAAATTAAAAATTGGAGACATAAAAATTTGAATAAGTATTAGCACTTCATTACAATCAACATGATACTGTAAAACAACCTTGAAAGAAGTAAAGATAAATATCCCTAAATTCAGATTACTATTTGAGTCAACCATAGAGATGCTTAAAATCGATAAATAATTGTTGAGTTGTCAATGATAAAAAAAAATTAAAAATCTATCACAGTTTTATTAATGGCAATTTCAAAGGTAAAAATAACTATATTTGAGGGAAAACAAGGAACATTACTACTAACATGACATTAATTTACATCTTTTATGACGCATTTCGCTACGCCTCAATGCGTTTACAATGTGCATCACAAATAAACTATAATTAAGACGTAATAATTATAAAATATATATAGATAACTAGACTAAAATGTTATAATAATGATACTCTAAAACAAATTAATTAATATATAGCTAATATAAAAGTATGGTTAAAACAAATATAGGGTTAAAATTAATATAGCATAATAAGATAGCATAATCTGTATTTCGTAAGGACGCAATAGATATCATATCATTCCTAATCAAAATAGCACAAGCCATATTTCTTTTAATTCACAGAATGCTAGCTACGTTCTAGACAATATCTGGAAGCCAAGATTTTGCAGTACCTTTTTCAGATTGCATGGTTATTGTAAAAGTTACAAAATAAATCCATTATTGCATTCAAACTTTTCTTTTGTAATGATTTAAAAAACGGCAAGATGAAATTTCTTCAAACTACGTAGACCTCAATTACAGCTTCAGGGTATGTAAGTAGTTTTCAAAGTTCAGCTTGCTTTTTTCTGAAAATGCGCTTTATATMAATTAGAAAGCGTCATCACTCCCTCATCATGTGACATTACCGATTTTCAATAAAGTTCGTTTTTTATAAAGTTCATTTTTTTACCAAGCAAGTGCAGAAAAATCTAGCAAAAAGAGGCTTTGGGACCAGAGCTAGAGCCAATCAAATGTTGCTAATTTAACGCAAAAAAAAACCCCGAGGCAAGCCACTTTAAAATGGTAAAATATTATGTCTTAGCTTGGACATATCCAGGGGCTATTTATTATATCAGCAACATGTTAAATATGACTCAATATTAAATATATAATAATGCAGACTGACTTAATCATTGATTAATTCTTACCTCATTGGGCCTGGCCCTGTGTTCTTTCTGGGAGACCTGGAGAAATTAAATTAATAATGATCATGTGACTGGGATGCTAACAATAAACATTTTTTGTCTGAGTGAAAGATTCATGATATTCATTCCATTGATTGATACTATTATAGGGGGCGCACTGATATTCTCTCATTTTTTCAAGGGCTTTTCAAGGAGTTTTACAATGTTTTCAAGGACATTAAAAACTTCCTTTTGTCCTAGTTTTATATCAGGAAATGGACAACTAAGAAACACTTAGGAAAATACTAAGATATTCTTCTGATGTCGGTTGAGCACATGTATTGAGCCTGCATTACTGCCGACCTGCATTTTCATGTAAAACTCATTCTCATTCTCCACTGATATCAGGAATCCAAATAGTTGTGACCAAGTGGATGTTGAACGGCAAAGATGATGAAACTCATTGCAGGTCTTTTCCAAGATAGGTCGCAGGAAAATAAGTGAAACTAAAACTAAAACTTGGACTAAACAAAAACACAACTAAACAGCACAAAATCTGGAGCAGAACTGATTTATTTTTCAAATTACGAATACTGTTGCGTGATCACTTACATCATCATTCCAAATATGGCTAGTACAAACGTAACGCAACAAACTCGAATAAATCTTCGAGAGAGGAAGAAACTGCAGAAAACGCTGACGAATGGTTGAGGATGCACAGGGAACGACTCTTCAAAGGTTATGAGAATGCAGCCAAGCAGCTCCAGAAATGTAGCGAAGAACGCACTAAACACCTTGCAAAAAAGATCTGTGATCCTAAAGTCAACGTTGGAGATCACGCTTACATGAGGAATAGAATTCCAGGAAGAAATAAGATCCAAGATGCGTGGAATCCTACTTTGTACGTGGTTGTTAAAGTACCGGAGGATGGGAGCCCTATTTATACTTTAAGATCAGTTGCTGATGGCACATCTCGTCGAGCTCATCGTAGCTCGTTCAGATTGTGTCGCCCTATGTTTGAGCAGCAGTCTACTCTCAGAGAACCATCAGGACCAGGAAAGAGACCAGCTGACTCGTCAGTAATGTCAGATGATGACGACGAAGAGGAGGAGGACGTGTTTTACTGTGTGCCTAGACAACCAACCAAACCAAAGACAACAAGCGAGGGTTATTTAGATGATCCAAGAGTAAGAGCGTCTRAACAAGATTGGTCAGCAGTRCAACCTCTTAGAAGGTCCAAGCGACTGGAGGAAAAGCAAAGAAGTAGACAGCCAACGATGAACTTGGTCGAAGTTTCGACTATTACTTATGTTTAATTTATGTTATTTATAGTTTAGAATTGTCGAGGACGACAATTTCTTAAAAGTGGGGGTGAGTGTGGCAAGTTGAATATTTTCAGTTGTTTTCATAACGTTTTTAGCGCGCGCACTCATCATTAGAAATTTAGAGCGCGCATGAAAATACAAAAAGTATGATGTGGTTTTTTTGTCGTTAATTTAAAACAAAAGTATGACGAAGTTTTCGTCGTTAGTTATTTACTTTGTCAGTTCAGTTGTGTTCAACGTTCATTCAAAGAGAGTCAAGAAAAGTTGTGTTAATTAAGTTAGTTAAAAGACTAGAAATAATCGAAACTGGTAAGTAAAACATTGTTATTATATATTACTTAAGCATAGAAGTCTGTTTCCTTTACGCAAAACTAGAGAATGTAAGAAAAACAATTGATCTCAGGTTGCCTTAAGCAACCRTTTTCAAGATTGTTTAGTTGTTGTTTCAAATATAAAATTACTTCAATAGTAATGTCTTATAAGTTATATCGTAAGTTGCCAGATAGCCGAAGTCGCTATGTTTGTAAATAGGTAATTTAGGATGGCCAAACACCAGTCTAAGCTAATCCTAGTTGCAGTGTATTTAGTGTAAGATTACAGAAATACTTATAGTCATTTGAAAAACAACATCGTAGATGTGTAATTAATCAATTTTTCTATTGATTACTTATCGTAGTTCTCGCCGTTTCGTTGTGGTAATAAACTGAGTTATAGTAAAGACGAAACTCGTACGTGTTGTTTACTTGGTCACATAGTAATATAATCAATTGTTTTGCAAGGATGAGTAATGTGAATTCAAGGGTATTTTTATAATCAAAGGCCCTTAGGCGAACTCGTGGATACTTGTTGCACTTTT